GCTGGGCGTGACTCAGCGGAAGCAATCAGAGTGGCGATGTAAGTTCTTTTTGACGTCCTGATTGCCCGGATGTATTCTCTGATGCAAGATGTTAAAAGTGCTCGGTTCGATTCGGATTTATTGGATCTCCATTGGTGCTCTAGGCGTCTCTTCCGGCGCTTCCTCTCCCGGAGTTCCTCAGTAAACCAAGGAGCCCTCCTGGATCCACTGTCTCGGAGCGGCCGTAGAGGCGCAATCCGGTTAAGAGACTTCGTCGCTGCCGAGTTCCAAGCAGCAACCAGAGTCTCTGCCGGACTGCGGGCGAGAGTATCAGGAATAACCCCAAGCTCCGTCTGGAAACCCAACGGGTCCATAAGTCACCTGGGGCGGAACCACCTGGTCGGTTCCTCCTCCCTACAGTGGGGGTTTGGTCTCCGAAAGTCAAGCCTCAGTAGGTAGTGGTCCGACCATGACAGGGGTAAGATCTCACTACCCCTCAGACCAAGATCACAGCTCCACTGCTCCGAGAGAAATACGAGGTCGAGCATGTGACCCGCCGAGTGGGTTGGGCCCCGGATTACTTGGGTCAAGCCCATGGCTGTCATGGAAGCCATGAACTCCTGCGCAGCCATGAGGTGACCGTGCTTGCCGCCTCCTGCACCTGAAAAGTAATAAGACCGCCCTGAAAATAAAGCCAAGCGCTTATTTCAGGGGTCAAAAGAAAATAAGACCCTGTCTTATTTTGGGAAAACAAGGTAGCTGTGTGAATTCCTCCCCTCCATTTCATTTCCAAATGTTGCAATCCTGCCATTATCAGGTGGAAGCAAAACTATAGTACCTGAAAGCTTAAAATATGCTTAAGGAAAATTTTAAAAGAGCCAGACTGATCTAGTAATTAAGGCACCAAGCTAGAAAGCAAGAGACCATAGTTCAAGTCCTCCCTTAGTCATGAAAGTCAGCTGGGTGGCTTTGGGCCAATCACACACCCTCTCTCAGCTCAACTCACCTCATAGGATTGTTGCTGTGGGGAAATTAGGAGGAGGAAGGTGTGTTGGATATGTTTGCCACCTTGAACTATTTGTAAAAATAATAAAGGTTGGATATAAACAAACAAACCAATAAAAAGCCTGGTAACTGTTAGAAAGGCCTTGAAAACCTGGTTCTTCCATATCCGCTAGGCCAGAATGCTACATTAGCCCCTCTCCCTTGTTTTGTTTATTTATTTTAATTTTATTCATTTCATCAAACATATATTAGATAACATATATAAGTATAAACATGATTTTGGATGCATGAAATGGATACTAATAAAAGGGAATATTAGAACAGGGAGGCTAGGCACATTGGTGTGCTTGTGCACACCCCTTACAAGATCTCTTAGGAATGGAATGAGGTCGACAGTAGAGTTTTGGGGAAGAAACCACAGAGTCAGGTAGTGCATTCCAGGCATTGACCACTCTGTTGCTGAAGTCGTATTTTCGGCAATCGAGTTTGGAGCAATTTACTTTGAGTTTGTATCTATTGTGTGCTCCTGTATTATTGTGGTTGAAGCTGAAGTAGTCATTGAAAGGTAGGACATTGTAGCAAATAATTTTGTGTACTACGCTTAGGTCAGACCGAAGCCGGTGTAGTTCTAAGTTGTCTAAGCCCAAAATTTTAAGTCTGGTGGCATAAGGTATTCTGTTGTGAGTAGGGCAATGGAGGACTCTTCTCGTGAAATATCTCTGGACTCGCTCAGTCTTTTTAATCATTTCTGTTGCATTTTTATTTTATTTTATTTTATTCACTCTGTTATAACAAAAACTGAAGGTGGGGATTCAGACTTCCTTCTCTTGCATAACAGTCCCACTTTACCTCATTTCATCACCTGGAGTCCTCAAACCTCCCAAAACCATGAAGCATATGCCACAACTACCAAAAAGCATTATCTTCTTCAACTAGGTGTCACCAAGATTTTTTTTTTCATTCCTGAAATAAAATAGTCTTTATATTATCATTCATTTTCTGGAGGGAAAAGGATTAATTGAAAAAACCTATAGTACATGCTAGGAATTCTGGAAGTTCCCATCTCAACCCAACTGGCTGGGTTTTGGATGCCACACTGGTACTATAGTCAAATCAAAAGCTGCATGTCTTTTGCATTATGAAGAACCAAGGAATAAAGTTCTATCTGCTAACATCACCGTCATAAATATTGTCCCCTGCTCTCTAGGTTCCGTGGGATGATTTACGGTATCTCTTTGGTGAAATCATGTATGGGGGACATATCACTGATGACTGGGACCGCAGACTGTGTCGGACGTACCTGGCTGAATACGTCCGCATGGAAATGCTGGAAGGCGAAATGTTTCTGGCTCCAGGATTCCTCATTCCACCCAATAGTGATTACAAGGTAAAAACAGGGTGGATCCAATGTACAGAGAATCAGGCAGGGGCAGGGCAGTAAAGATGGCCACTGCACCAGAAGTGGTATTCAGCAGGTTCTGACCAGTTTTGGAGAACCAGTAGCGGAAATTTTGAGTAGTTCGCAGAACCGGTAAATACCACCTGACTGGCCCCGCCCCCATCTATTCTCTGTCTCCCAAATCCCAGCTGATTAGGGGGGAGGAATGGGGATTTTGCAGAGAGAGAAAGTTTCACTTGACATAGAGAATACAGGAAGCTCATTTGGAGCAAGCCAAAACAGTTTTTAGATAGATGAAAAATAAAAGCACTTTAATTGTAAGCAAGTCAGGCAGATGCTCCTGAGAGAACTATCAAATGGGAGGCAGAGATTGGGAAGATAATCTAAAACCTTCCTGGCCATCTTCCAAGAGCTCCTCAAAATGGAGGCTGTCACTGGTCAGGCTGGCCTTCCTGATGCTTCCAATCCAGGGGTGTCAAACTCACAGCCACAGGCCAGATGTCCCACACACTGGCCACGCCCACCCCTGGTTTATTGAAGGGGGGGTTGAGATATGTCACATGACGGCTCTGTGATGACACACGTTTGACACCCCTGCCCTCATCCATCAACTGAGGGGAATTTCACCCTTCTACCAAGAACTTCGTCCTGCAGGCCAGCCCAAGGCAAACGAACAAACAGATATGCTCTGGAGCGCCCTGCTGAAATACAGAATTTACTTAACTATCAGTCCTGAAATAGAAACAACAGCTGTGTTGTATGTGAGGAAGGTTTTAACAAGAAAACCAATTCAACCTATAAAGTCTAAATACGAAAAAACACTTCTTGGGAAAAGGGGAATATAGGCAAAGTTAACAGAAGACATGAATCACACAGAAAATTCAAGTTAGAGTAAACTGGAAGCCATCATGTGAAGATCAGAATATCCAGACTCAGCTACTTGAATGAACGCATTGCTGTGTATCCACTAAAATTCTATTATATATATTCATAGGGCTATCATGAGTATATTGATGAAAATCTACCACCTGAGAGTCCTTATTTGTATGGGCTCCATCCGAATGCAGAGATTGGTTTCCTCACGGTAACCTCAGAGAAACTTTTCCGCACAGTGCTGGAAATGCAACCCAAAGAATCCGATGCTGGAGGAGGAACTGGCGTGTCCCGTGAAGAAAAGGTAAAATTGCATGTCATTTCCTGAGAAATGAAGCACCATAGAAAAATAGAGGATTGGTCGTAGAAAATCAATGTTCCGTCAAGTTTGCTTTTTGAGTTTTGGGAGTTTTTACCCTTATTTTTTAATTTTATTTATTTTAAATTATTATTTGTTTTTATTTTATTTATTTTAAATCACTTGACCTTTTTAATTTTCCTCATTTGCTCTGTCTCTCCCACTGTCAGGTTTTGTTTTGTAGGACTTGGTTGATCTCTCATTCAGATTAAAATAAGGTTGGATCAGACTAGTATCTGGATGACAGACTACTTGGGAATTTCCAAGGTTGTTGATTAATCAATTAAAAATAATAATCCCACAAGACAGTAGTGTCTAGCCACCTCCAAAATGCTGTCAAGAAAACTGCCTGGTTGCAGCCCAAAGAATAACACTCAGGAAAGCTTTATCATCTTTTGGGGCTGTGCTGTGCTTAGCACTTCTTTGACCACATGAGAAGTAAACTTGATCATCCAAGTAATTTGCTTCCACAGCAAAATGTTCTAAGCAATAAAACATACAATTGGCCTTTTGTGTGTCAGGTGAAAGCAGTGCTAGATGAGATCATGGATCGTCTTCCAGAGCCCTTCAACATGGTGGAAATTATGGCAAAAGCAATGGAGAAAACGCCCTATGTGGTAGTTGCTTTCCAGGAATGTGAACGGATGAACATCCTCACCAGTGAAATCAGACGCTCTTTGAAAGAACTGAACTTGGGGCTGAAGGTGACTGTATATTATTACATGCTCTTACTGGTACTGTCTTCAATAAGACAATGATCAGCTCTTCAGTTGGTGTACTGATCCAGAAAAAAGATGAGTTTTTGTGGTAGTATATATCAGATCAAGTTTCACCTGATGAACAGAAATGTCCTTCCAGTGAATTTAATCCTTTTTGTAACACCAAATTGGACTTTTGCTTTTCTTCTCTAGCAAATTACCCTGACCCCTCATCTCATTGCTTTATCCCCCCATCCCATCCAAACGCTTTCTCGTTTTCTCCTTCCATTCATCACATCTGCCTCCTGCCCCGTCCCGTTCCCCCCCCCGCACCCCCACCAGTCTCTTTTTTGCTGTTGTCATGAGATAGGGAGATTGTATGTATACTGAATATTTCTCTGAATGAGGGAAAATGGTTATCTATGCAGATAGGGACTCTATTTAGGAAAATTTAACCAGTAGTCAATTAATATACCTCCCTCCCTTTCGGGGTCCTTGTTCTGCTCCTGGGTTTGCATGCTCATATACAGAACAAGACTGCCACTCACACACAAAGAGGCTGCGAAATCAGCTGCAGTGGGTAACTTTAGTTGACAAGACAAGCTGTACATATTAGATCTACTCTTTCTTTGGAGGTGAATAATCTTACATTCAGCGGGATGCGGTAGCTCAGTGGCTAAGAAGCTGAGTTTGTCGATCAAAAAGGTCAGCAGTTTGGCAGTTCGAATCCCTAGTGCCATGTAACAGAGTGAGCTTCCTTTACTTGTCCCAGCTTCTGCCAACCTGGCAGTTCAAAAGCATGTAAAAATGCAAGTAGAAAAATAGGGATCACCTTTGGTGGGAAGGTAACAGCATTCTGTGTGCCTTTGGCATTTAAGTCATGCCGGCCACATGACCACGGAGACGTCTTCAGACAGTGCTGGCTCTTTGGCTTTGAAACGGAGATGAGCACCGCCCCCTAGAGTCGGGAACGACTAGCACATAGGTGCGAGCGGAACCTTTACCTTTAATCTTAAATTCAGAATAGTAATTTTTGAGTGATTATATAATGAACACAAGTTTGTGTGTTTACATATGTAAAGATTGAGGGAGCTAGATCCAAAGTGTGGCTGAGATATGATGTAATATACTGGCTCACACGGCTTCCTTAAAAGCTGTCTCTGGTTCTTTGCATGAGTCGGCACAGGAACAGGCTCAAGACTTTTCCAGGAATTGCCAAAGCAACTCTTCAAAATAGCTGTATGAGCTTTCCAGAGGACATAGACATTTTAATATTTCAAGCAGGTGTACTTTATTGTACTAATACTCTTTTGAAAAGGATTTCTTTAAAGTGCTTAGTTGGGAGCTAGAAGCTAAAGTCCTAAAGTTCTAAAGCTCAAAAACGTGGAGATTGCTTCTCCTTTGAAACTATCGCACAAGCATTCAGAGACGAAAACTGATTTTTCGTGTTGAAAATCATTTTTGTGTATGCTATATATATGCTTTTGATTCATATTACAATCAGTCATCCTCTAATTTCAACCCTGGCAATTACAACAGTAACTGGGAAAATAATCTTATTTTCTCAGCAGTGTGTTGGGAAATTTAAATTGCCACACAGTACCATAATTAACTTGAAGGAAAATGCTGAAAAGTCCCCTGAAAGAATTTGCTTATTGGGTAATGCAATACTGAGAGGATCTTAATTAACATTCAGATAATCAGGACCAAGTGTGGGATGCCATTTCCTTAGTTACCCTGAAAATTATTCAAATGGACAATATGTTCAGGCAGGATGTTCTGATAATGGCAACAACTAATTTACAACTTTTACTTTTTCCAAAGGGTGAGTTGACAATCACAACAGACATGGAGGATTTATCCAATGCTCTTTTTTATGACAATGTGCCCGAATCCTGGACAAAACGTGCTTACCCATCTTTACTTAGCTTAGCAGCCTGGTATGCAGATCTACTGCTCCGGATCAGGGTAAGGACCATGAAGACTTAGTTAAAACCTTCCATGCTAGGTTTTTTTTAAAGTACTTAGTTGTAAAATTTACTGTAAATTCTTTAGGCTGATTTTTTCAAAAAGCTGACCTGCCCTTAAGCATTGTTCTCCTATTAGGATCTTGTTTGCTGAGCTTGGTTTTCTTCTGGTAAACCTTTCCTTCCATCCTTCCAAGGTCGATAAAATGAGGACCCAGATTGTTGTGGGCAATAGACCGTTGGCTTACCTGAATGGTCGTTCTCTAGGCGCTGCGGAGTGTCCAAGCACGGGTTAACTTCAGCTTGCTACCCAAGGAACTGAGTTTTAAAATTGATTGTAGCTCCGCCTCCTGGTTGCCTCAGAGGCTCAGTTTCAAAAAACGAAGAAGATCAATAGTCCATAACTCGAACCAGACAAAGTCCAAGTCCAAGACATGAAGGTGCTAAGAATACACCTCGCGGCCCCACCTTAAGTGTGGGTTTTGACACTCCGCAGCACCTAGAGAATGACCATTCAGGTAAGCCAACGGTCTTTCTCCTAGGCGCTGTTTGGAGTGTCCAAGCACGGGACATGTCAAAGCTATGTCGAAGTCGGGAGGGAAGCATTGTCCGGGGCCGCGGTGCTTGCCACGACTCTCTGCAAGACTCTTCTCCCAAATGACGCCTCAGCGGTGGCGAACGTGTCAAGTCTGTAGTTACAGATGAATGGAGACGGTCCAGTCCACGTTGAAGCATGGCAAATTTCTTCAATTGGCGCTTGAATAGCCCAAGTGGCCAAAGTTGCTGCGCTCCTCGTAGAGTGTGCGGTAATACGAAGGGGAACCAGTCTGGCCTGAGTCTCGTAGGCCATCTTGATGCTTGCCCTAAGCCAGCATCCGATGGTGGAGGACGTGACCTTCTTTCCCATGGAAGCAGGTTGGAAGGAAACAAATAAGGCTTCCAACTTACGGAAAGGAGCAGTCCGCTTTATGTAAATGCGCACCGCCCGCCGCACGTCCAACTTGTGCCATGTTACCTCTCTCTGGTGCCTGAGACGAGGACAAAAGTCCGGAAGTATCACCTCCTGCGCCCTGTGGAAAACGGTGTTAATCTTCAGGACGAAGGCAGGATCCAACCGTAAGATGACTCTATCGGAGTGGAAGATGCTGAGGTCGCCTCTAACTGACAAGGCGGCCAACTCCGATATCCTGCGGGCCGAGGTGATGGCGACCAGAAGGGCAGTCTTAAGGGTCAGGTGGTGTAGGCCCACCGTCCGCAATGGTTCAAAGGGTGGCTCGGCAAGCGCCTGCAGTACAACAGTCAAGTCCAGGTAGGGTACCTATGGATGAGGGGCAGAAAGATGTTGGATGCCCCTTTCAGGAAACCCTTTACCTGGGGATATCTGGAAAGCGGTAGCTGAGAGTCAGAGGACAGAATGGTGCTCAGAGCAGCCACTTGTCTACGGAGAGTGTTGGGCGCAAGCCCTTTGTCCAAACTGTCCTACAGAAAATCAAGGACCTGCAGGATGGTCACGGAAGAGGCCACTAGCTGACGGTTGAGGCACCAACAGGAAAAGGCCGACCAGGTTGCCTCGTAAATTCTGACGGTGGAAGGTCGTCTAGAAGCTTGAATCGTCTGGATGACTCTGTCAGAAAAACAGTGAAGCCTCAGGAGGTCCCCCTCAAGTGCCAGATGGCCAACTGCAGCCACTGGGGCTCCGGATGTTGGATGGCCCCCTGGCTGAGGGAGATTTGCTCCTGAGGTATGCGCCACGGCCGGGATACCGACAGACTGACCAGGTCGGCAAACCAAGTCCTCCTCGGCCAGTGAGGAGCGACTAGGAGCACCTCCGCAGCTTCCTCCAGAATCTTCCGAATGACATGTGGTATCAGAGGGAGCGGAGGGAAGGCATACAGCCGACCCGGGGGCCAGCGGGATCTTAAAGCGTCCGTGCCCTCCACCCCTGGGCAATGGAACCGGGTGAAGTATCTTGGAAGTTGGGCGTTGGCCGGCGAGGCAAACAGGTCGACAACCGGGTGGCCGAACTTCTGAGACAGCTGGTAAAACAGTCTTGGGTGCAGACGCCATTCCGAGTTCTGGATGGTTGTTCTGCTGAGCCAGTCCGCTGTCACGTTGTCCAC